TAGAAGTTATATATAAAATTTAAGATTCTAGTACATTTTTCTTCTTAAAATGTCAGGACGAACTGTAGACACTCGATCCTCAACTGACCTTCTCGGAGCTCAATACCCTTTGTGGTTACCGTTGAACAGTAAATACGTTCGAGTCACAAAAAACCTGGCCACCCTTAAGCGAGGGTTAATTAGGAAGGTACGGAGTCAAATTTCATATTCTGGTACTTTTGATACTTATATACTTGCGGGGCGACCGAAATATTATATTCGAACTATGAAAAAAATGAAATGAACATCTTTTACAAATAATGTTTTGTTAGTAGTATGTATTTATGCCTTGGTATAATAATTCACAATTCTGTAAATATTAGTTTATTTGAATTTTTACATTTCTCAATACAGTATCGTTATTTATAACATTATAATAAAACTTGATGTAACCGTCAACTCAAGTAACTTCCTGATTTATTATATTTTCAATTACGTATGAGTTGCTAACTTTACTTTTAAAATGATCATAACTGCTACATTCAATTTTGATTAAATTAATAATACAAAAATCGTGTAAAAATAGAAAATCCTTTCCACGATAACAGAATTCCACACTTTCTGACAACTCAATTAATTATTAACTCTTTACGGACGACAAACTGAAATATTCAAATCCATTACCACACGAAGCTGAATTATATATCGAAATCTAAAATAACAAAAAAAAAGAAGAAAACTAAATTATTTCTACACGGCCTTCTATTTTAGGTATGAGGATTAAAAGGATCAAAGGGTTAAAAGCTTCGTATAACATAATGATCATTGTCTTCAATTAACCACCTTTTCTTCACGGCTAATTTCAACCACGTCACATTAAGAGAACGCCAGTAAACAAGATTCATTCGCTGAAAAACCAAGAATCTCATGAACGTTCGTGAAATAACCACAAAACGATTCGCGGCTCATCAAAATTTATTCGACGTTATTAACTGCTCGTCAAAATTCCGAACAAGAATTCCATGCTGTGGTTTTCGTAAGCTGGAGCCGAATCGCGTGCCAAAAACGCGTACTTTCGCTCGAAAACGAGAGTGAAAAGGGAGCAGTAAGAAGAGAAGCGAAGAGAAGAGAAGAGAGAGACAGAAGGGAGCGGAGGAGGCAAAAAAAGGAAAGAAAACCTCACGAGGGCGTTAACGTTGCCCAAAGAAAACGCTGGTAAACGAGAACACGTTGGGGGAGAGATTCGTTGGTGGTCGTCCCGTGCTCGTGTCACACACCGCTCCCTTCGGCAGAATTCTTTTCTATCTCTGTCCCTCTGGCTGTTCCCGTTGTGGCGGAGGGTGCCGTGAATTCGGTCTACACAGCACCTCTTTGAATCAGACCGTTCGAGATAAAAGTGTGATATAAACTTTTCACTAACAGAGATACAAATAAAATGAGGGAAATAAATTAGAAATACCGGTACTATCAGCTTTAAAAATTTTAATTTGTAAGAGACAAACAGTGATTTCTACGTAAGACCACTGCGTCAGGGATTAAAATTTTTTAGTCAAAATTTTAACTTTTTATTGATGTTCGAGTCACTTTAAACTTGATTCTACTCTTAGTTATTCTGTGCAGTATTGAGTTTCACTGGTAGAAATACAAATGAAATGGGAAAATGAAGTTTGAGAACGGATGTTAATTAGCTTTTAAAATGTTATTTGCAATGGCGAAATATATATTGGTTTTCATGTAAGATCACTGTGTCGGAGATTAATTGTTTTATTTGTAAAAATCGTAACCTTTTACTAATATTTGAATTTTCATTTACATGTACATTTGTTTCAAGTGTATTGTTCTTCGTGACATTAAATGTTATTAAACGTAAACCTTTTAGTAGGCGAGATACAAATAAAACGAAGCAAATGAGTTTCAAGAATAAAAAATAATATTGTCAACCGATTACTAGATAAAGCAGAAAACATAAAAATATCAATTAATATGTATATACTATCTCACACTTATTTATTATTACTTTTTTTAATACTAAATTGCAAATAAACAGTGAAAAAAATGAACTTTTTGTTTTTTAACACGAATAAAAAATTGCTAATGCGATCCAATCCATAGTATTGAGTATTAGGATACAGCTGTGGTGTAATAATTTTTTGAATGTTGATTTGATTTGCAGCGTACATGAAAAGTCAGAGTACCGAGACGTCTTTAAAAGTAAACAGTTCGTGGAAAGAGTTGTTCCACGAGATTGTGGAAGAATAACACATGGTCGATGACCGTCACTAAAATACATCATATTTCAGTAGTCGTTGATTATCGATCATGAATTGTAGATGGTCTATGTTACATTTGTGACTCTGAATCCGTAGCTTCGACATGCTTCATTGCACCGGGTTTATAATTTCTTCATACAGTACAGTTTTGGAGCTTACTTAGTGATCAGATATGATTACTAACATTAAAGCTACTGAACCAATCAAATTTACCTACTTCAGAATTTTTATTTTATAAGTATTGAAATTATGAAGGTGGTTTGCGAAAGATTCACAATTTTTCTATATTTTTACAGACACAAGACTAGGCGACTCTTCGAATTTCAAGAAACGTCTTGTTCTAATTTTTATAAGAAATTGGAAATAAATCACTCCAATTGCTTGATAGGTTTAGTGTTAAATTATTAGTATTCATGAGACAACGATTTTGATTTGAGATGGTAACTAATATTATTTACACAGTGTATAGTTTCATTTAAAACGATTTATTTTCAATTCCTTATATATTCAACAAGTATATAATTAAAGGTATACGAGTAGTTTTAATTATCGTCGTGTTTGAGAAAATTATTCAAATTGTATTTGTAAAATTATCATGTAAAAAAGAATCGGGAACTTCTTGAAAAAAAAATTGAAAGACGTGCATATGAAATACTACGTAAACAAATTATTTACTATTGAAGTTGAACTATTTTTCTCTTATTATTTTTCAATGTCAACCACGTACTCCAATACGTATTCTTTGTTACTAAAAATTTTCTAACATATGGAAGATCTGCACTAGATTTTGTGAACTAGTCAATCTATTATAAATCACGCATATTTACAAATCCATTGGATTTTATTACGAACAAGAAAATCTAGGTATACATAAAGCGCACGTTTAGTTCAATTATTGTTGTCAGAACTACGCTAAATATTCTGTGTCACAGACATTTTTTGATAAAAAGGTGCAAAGTTATGTTTACATAATGTGTAACTATTCTTTAAGAAAAATATAGACGTGTTCAAAAGACGTACCCCGTGTTACATTATAGGTCTAAACCGTTATAAATCCTGTACACAGGTGGCTCTAACTTTAGGCAGACCTCTCACGTTTTTCAATTATCTCCCCTGCAATTTTTATGTGTTCTGAATTTTGAAACTCTCACTATTAATACAAGTTACAGGCGATCGTTATTTTAAGTGATCAATGTCTTTTTGACGGGCAAGGAATCTTGTATAATTTTTTTTATAATTAATAGCGATTCAATGTAGACGGGGTAAAATTAAAATTTATACAGAACGCAAACAAAATGTTTTACTCAAATATTACAGATCTTTATAAATATTCGCATCATTACACATTGAGAAATTAAATATTTTTAAATTAAAAAGTATATATACTAAATACCTTAGTGAGTTGTTATAATCTGTAGAAATTCTTTTTGCTATAATAAATTTAACTTTCAATATCATGAACAATGTTTAATGTTATATGTCGAATGTTATATGTGTAGGGTTAAAATTGTTTGAATATTATTTGTTTTTATAATTTATTGATTTTGTGTAAAAGCTGTACCTTTTTATAGTAATCTGAGAAGTATTTAAAAAGTAATATGTTGTTGCAATATTATATAGAAAATATGTATAAATAGAATTACGTGTCAAGAGGCTTTAAATTGTTTTTTTAGAAGTAATATTTAAGTATTAAATTTTGAATATTAAATTTGCTATTTGAATATGAAATAATAATTTCAATGTTAACATATGTTGTACACAGTTTGCTTACAATTACCTCATATATTAATGAATAAAGAAATTATTACACAAAATTAGCATCTATTTATTATAATCGTAGTGGTCTCCCTATGGGGTATACCAAGAATTTCACGGCTTACTATTTACAGACCCTCGATTTCCTTAAAATATTATATTTTTCAAAGACAATGAATTTCTCATTAACACGAGTTAGAAATAGTAGGTTCGTCTTGTTAAAGCCCCTATACACGATGAGACTTGTCTGCAGATATGTCCTAGGTCAAGCAATATGTCCGAGTCTTTTTCATTTTCTATAGGATATGAACATATCGACATATCGTACAAACAGTGAAAGAGGCTCAAACCCATCAATTATCCCGGCAGATGTCCGCAAACAAGTCTCATAATGTGTAAGGGTTTTAACCTCTTGCCATATGATTTTCTTTACGACTAAGCCCGACTAACTAATTTTACTATCAATAACTTCCAAGAAACGTGAAGAAATATTTCATGTATTGTAATTACATAACAACTGAAGTTAAAATATTGAAAACAGCAAAACAGTCTTTTGCTTCGATCCAACTGTTACGAGGAATGTTGATTTCTGTTAAATTAATCTGAAAACCTTCATCCCACTCGTCATTATAGAGCAAGGGGTTAAGTTTTATTCATACTATTCAGTGTGCAATGTTTAGTCTAGCACGAACTTCAAAAGAATAGCATTACGAGGTTTCCAGAAAAGTAAAAGAGGGTAATTGATCAGAATGGATTGTGTACGATTCAATAAAATGATGTAATACATAAAGTACTGAGCAGTACTCTTTCTGTATGAACATAATGAAAGAAGTTTTTGGAACAATCTAACACAAAAGAAGGGGGTTGAAGTCTAAAACAGTATCGACGATACTGTAGTTCAAGTAACGTTTAAATGAGACGGGAAACGATTTCAGTCTGAACTACTGTAACGACTCTATTGGGACGTTGTTTTCTAAATTGATCACTTTATTTCAGATTGCCGTCTCCGTACAATAAGCAGTCGGCCGTCGGTGGGGCAGGTGGCGGTCCCGGCGGTGGAACAACAAGTATACCCTTACCTGCTACCGTGGCTGCTACCAGAAGGTGTCCCCCAGACAAAGTTAGACCAGTTCCGACACCGACGCATCAATCACAACTTGGTAAGTTTACCACATTTTCCCCCTCGGCCGGAACTTTGGAAGCTATCGATTGTCCACGTTTGCGCAAAAGTGTTGCATTCCATCGTAAATTCGTAGCGTTCTCCTTCTTTCTTTCGAAATTAAGCTTTTTACAATGCCGTTTTGTTCGTATTACATGTCATACGAAGTTCGCGATAATTTTTTTTACAAATTAGGACATTCTATTTGTGAACATAAAATTCGAATGTTACGTCACAGAAGACACATATCTTTTATACAAAAATTATAACACAAGTATAAAACGTGGACTTTCTTTTTGGTTGGATATCCTGAAAAATGCACACACGAAATTAATGAATTGGAACCATCAGAATAACAAATTTTGACAAAATTGTAACGAAATGCAATTCGGGGTAAATTCGATATTATGTAAATATCAGATTTGTTTAAATAAAAGCGGATATTACATTGTAATATACAAAGACATGTATTATACGACAAATACTGCAAGATGTTGAAAATGTCTGCATTTTTCATTTAAAATTCTTTCAATCAATTTCACAGTAAAAGCAAAGAGTTATCGAATAAATATTTAATAATAATTAAGCTCGATACAATGATATCATAAAAAGTTTTTATTTCTAATAAAACCGCAACAAGTTCAAGACACAATCTGACAGATTGACGTACTTTATCATCAAGCAACGTCCCACACAATTCTTTTTGTGAAAATCGATACTATCATTATATTGATAGAATGCAAATGTTTTAACTATTCGTAAACATTAACGATATTTTACCGGCTACTTCGGTTGTTATTTATACTCCTCAATTAAGCGAAGTAGATAAGTATATAATAATTAAAACAGACCAAATAAAGAAAAAGCCATAATATTTTAACAGTTATAAAAGCTTCATATTTCTATGTTCATTTCATTAATACACGCATGTAAATCATGCAGATACAAAAACTAATAATAAGTATACTATTTTTTAACAAAAATTCATCCCTTTTAGAATATTAATTATTACCATGTTTAATTTTTACATAGATGTATCAGAATAATTTTGAACATATTCTGGTAGTTTAAACAATTTTAAACTATATAGATAATTTTACTAGTAATAGAACTGATGAGTAGTTAAAAAAATTACCTTCTATAAGCATCTTATATTTTTCCTTTCAATGTCTATACTACCTGACACAATTAATTCAGTATCACAATATGCGGAGGGACAGAAAAATGTTTCTGGTCTGAACTCCACTTGTTCCTTTCATAAAGTATTCATTCAGTTTCGCGTGAAATTATAGGTAATTCTCGAAGCATGTCGTTCACTTTAACTATTTTAAGTATGTGTATGTGTAAATGTATGAATATAAACAATTAGATATATATATATGAGAATGGCATTATTTTATCGAATTCCCCTCTTTTTCTTTCACATGACTGAGTTTTAATAAGAAGTCATTAGTCACTGTGTATTCTCAGCAATTGCCAGGGAATAATATCCAGCCACGGTCGCTTAATGTCTGCAACGTGTCTGTTTCTGGCGTTTGCTTTCATCTTTCGCTGGAAGCTTCAATCCCTCCAGTGATGTATCGCATACATATTGATTTCTCGATGTTAGATCAGATATGAGTGTATTAATTTTCTACCAGCTTTGATCGCTTATTTATACTGCTCATTACGTTCGCCTGAAACTGCAAATTAATGCAATCTCGTTATTTTTTAATATCTTCTTAGCGTGACAATTAAATTTTAGTAGACTAGTAACACTCAATTATGTACACACATTTGAAATCCCACGTGAACGACATTATACACAAATATTTATATAATTTATACAAGCTGTTTTGTTTAATTGGATACGGTAGAATATTTAACAAGAAATTGGAGTTGTCAGGAAAATGTTTCTACAGAAGTTATTTGATTCGGAGGGGACACCATGCGTGGTAGAGGTAATTTCAAGGTTAACTTGGTATTTTTAAATAGAACTATACAATTGTAAATGCGCCAATCAATTCATCTGAATTATATGATACCTTCGTTTAAGTCATACACCGCTTGTAAAAGTAATTCCTTGATAACTTTTGCGAGTTATCAATTTTTATCAATTTCTTTGATAAATGCGTTGTGAGATATTCTACCTTGTTCAATTAAAAGCGGTACAGTATATAATAACATATTGTCAAATTATTAAATCACATAAAATATTTATATAGTTGATACAACACATAAAAATAAATTGAGAATGTATATTTAACACGTTGACTGCCACGAAAAACAAAAGCGTTTTTATATATCACTAATTATTTTCCAACGAAAAATAACAAGGAAGAATTATTAATTTTATTTGGTAGCACAATTCTTACGTTACACTATTGAACATATTTATTTGACATCGACTATCTTATGAGTTATAATTTTCTTTTAATTTGAAGCTCCAATCATGATCATGGATGACCGCCATAGCAGTCAACATGTTAACGGTGCTGGAGTGCATTAAAATCACAATTTTATATTTAGGGGTGTAAATGCTTTTATTGTATAAGATTTTTGAATTGATAATAAATATTGCCAAAAAGTTATCGTATATGAAACAGAGGAAACAAATAGATGAAATAATATTTTGTTAAATATAAAATAATAGTCACAAATATTAATTATTATTTACTTAAAATGAATCGTGAAACTTGGATCTCGATGTACAAAAATGACACGTGTATCAAAAATATTACAGAATTTTGGTAGAAATTTTCTCAACAAAATGAAATAGTTTCCGGAACTGTTGCACATTTACAGAGTTCAATTTCGTTGTACGTTCCTTAATGAAATCCGGGTGATCCGATGGGTGTCGTGGGATTAATTTATTTGCCAAAATTTATGCGTTAAACTTATCCAACACGGGTAAACTTCTTAGCATTTCGGGTTTCCTCTTGAAGACACAAAGAGATTCGACTAGGGTGTCAAGCGGCACAGTAGATTCAGTGCCGTGTTAAGGACACCCCATTAGCCATTAGCGCTGTGAATGGCTTTTAGCAACCCTTTGCGCATTTCTGGCTGTCGTGAAGAACCTGGACCACCACCATGAAAACTGGCTTCCATGGGGGTACGCGACCCCCTGTCCCTTTTAAATATATGGGCTCTCCTGCCCAACCGCCGACCTTGTCCTCTCTCTTCCACCCCCATCATCCCTACGCAATCTCTCTCACGCATACTCGAACATTATTATATCTCTCCCTAGCCCCGTTACACATATGTGCAGGCCGGTTATTCCATTTCGTGCAGATACGCGCAACAGCGTTTGATAAAAGTCCGTACTATCAGCATAAACGTGTCTGTGTATCAATATTTTACAATATAGGATGATACATAAATAAGAATGCACACTTTAAGGGTGTCTTGTAGTTACCATAAGGATGATGTCATCCCCTATCCGTATGGAACGTTTGTGATGTAGATAAATACAGAAACATTTCATGTTTCAATTTTAAATGTTATTTGGATAATGAATTATCATATCTTTGATGTTTTGTTGACTTTTATTTGAATACATTAGTTTCGTTAATTTTTGGACTAATTAATAGAATTGAGATTTTATGTATTTATTGGACACTGGATTATCTAAAAATTCAGTGCATTAGAAAATTAAATAAAGTTTAGGAAGAATTTGATTTTATTCGAATATCGAAGAAACCCTAAATGAAGTAAGGAAAGTTTTGTTTCGTTTACGTTACTATAATTTGCATGAACACCATTAGACTGCTAGTCAGAATTTATGGGATCGTGACTCAGTCCATTTACTTGTAGAATATTTAAAGCTGAGTTACTTTTCTCAAGAGATTCTTATGTCATGGTATAATTTTTCATGTTACTATATTAACGTGTTAATATTCAAGTATAGTAATTATAAA